TTATTGGAATTAGCCGTATTTTGCTACGGTTGGTATTTTGGATGCACTTTTCACTAAGAAAAATTATCAATATTGGCCCATGTTATTTTATATTGTGGTAATTCGTTGTAATCGGGTTTCAAATCTGGCTACCAAAAATGATCAATGTCAGTTTATGGTTTGACATAGCTCCCATAGAATAATACCATCCCATCTTCGGTATTTTGAAACTTTAGACCCATTTTCCAACCGATGGGGCTGAAATTTGGTATAAAGGGTTCTGGATGGCTGAATCGTATACAACTATGTGCGGTGTATATATAGGTCTACCTAAAAATGCCTTTTCTTTTTTGGTATTAATTACCGACCGACCATATGATATCCTATAAAACCGACCATATGATACTCTACACAATTACAACGGAATTCTAACTCTCTGCGGATCTATATTTCGGGCCTGAATAATATTTTGCTAATTATTTCATACCCTGGCATATTTTCGGAATATTTTTCCGGGGTGAACATTTACGCCTAAGATGCATTTTTTTATCATTTTACACAAAAAGATCTTGGTTGTTTTAACTGAATATTGACCATCAAAAGAGCCATTCTAATTAGTTAGCCAGAATTGCTTCCCCATGTGATGTGTTGTAATGTTCGTCTTATTATTGTGGCCTATAGAACGACTTGAAAGTATTTGGACAAATTAAGTATTTGGACTATTTCAATCCCTAAATATCAATCGATCAGCTCCGAAAATTATAGGCGTCGTTCTTGACCAGAACCGCAATATCGTGTAAAATTTCAAATCGACAAGCGCGAAATACATGCTATCTAGTGTGGTAATGGTAATCAGAATATGTAGATATGTGTTAACATTTACGTATAACTTCCACATCCGAGTACATACAACAATATAATTTGGTATCAATTTAAAGGTCAACCTGTAGTCAACTTCTGGGGTCCATATCTTTCAGGATTAAATACATTCGCCACATAATACACATTTTGTCATTTTCACACAAAAGTCTGGGTCCATTTGTCCCGCTAAATATTGACCGATTTTCATTGAAACTGTGATGCTTCTATAGCCAGTCGCCTCTCCTCGTAATTGTGGTTTCTAGAGCGACCAGCAAAACCGACAAATATAAAGACCTCATATAAACGGATTTACTTGTATTTTAAAATTTTTAGCGGATTTTTTCAGCGAAGTGTCTATAATTTGTTATTCTGGGTTATTAAAGAGCGAAATCATATTTCTACACAACAGGTCGAGTCTTGGTCGAGACCAATTTTGTTTGGCATTTTTAAGATTTTAGCCAGATTTTCCCACCGAAGTGGCAGTAATTTGATATTCCGCAATCCTGGTGAATTACACATAACAATTTAAAAAGAGTAAGGAAAATTCAAAAGTCGGACGGGCCGACTATATGATACCCTTCACCATTTACCTAAAATCGGTAAAAACTATGTATAAGAATTATATATAAATCTAAACGGATTCCTAATTCAGTACGCTATGCTAACTTTTGTCTCAATCTGGCAAATATTGGCGGTGTGGTGTTCTATTTACATAAAAGCGGACGAAACTATATGTGGGAGCAATATCTAAATCTGAAGCGATTCCAACAAAACTTCGCAAACATCAAGCTGGACCAAATTCAGTATGCCGTGCAATATTTTGCCTCAATCGGACCAATATTGGGAGTTTGGTCACCAACTATATATGGTAGCTATATCTAACTCTGAACTGTTTACCTCCAATTTCAATAGGGTTCGATCAAACAAGTGACCTGGGCCAAACAAGTGACCTGGGCCAAATTTTATCCAAATCAGATAATAAATGCGACCTGTACTTTGCTCACAAAAATACATGGACTGACAGACTGACATGCATAAATCGACTCAGAAAGTGATTGTATGCTTATTCTCAAAAGAACCATATAACAAACATATGCACAAAGAAATAAAACCCTGTATCACAGTGTGGTAAAGGGTATAAAAGGGTTATAAAAAAATTGTGGGAGGGAGATTTGGGTGATTTAAAAATTTTTGGGAGGAAGATTTGGTTTGAAAACGGGCTCAAGAACCTCAAAATACCGAAAATTGGGAGATACTCTTATAAGAGGGCTACCAGAAAAAAAACTATATTTATAATTTTTTAATGAGTGATTTACTACCCAATAAGAACTAAAACAAGAACTAAATTACAGCCTATTCGGGCGAAAAATGGTGCCAAACCGCCCATAAAATTAAAATTGAGGGTACCGTTATATGGGGGCTACCAGAAAAATAGGACATATATTTATAATTTTTAGTGCAGAAATTTTGTACCCAATAAGAACACATTGTAACAAATTTTAGCGAATTCAGTTTAAAATGCGCTAAAGAACCCCAAAATACCGAAAATTGGGGAGTACTCAGAAAGTCATTCTATGCATATTCTCAAAAAGGAACCATGAGTCTATCTCGTTTCCTTTTGCATGTTACATACATGCACATGCACAAATACATAATGCCCTGTACCTCAATGTGGCGAATTGTATAAAATAAATTATAAATATCGTATGATTATCAGAATTGGTCCTAAGATTTCACATCGTAACATTGTAAGTATTTTGAAAGAAATAGCCGCCAACCGATGTGATGGTAAGATGACATTTCGGATTTCAAATTAATAGATCATAGTCCCTCAATACAATGAAGAATATGAGTCAATATCATAACATAGCCTCCATATAACGGCACTGTGCATTTTCTTGTATTTTGAAGTCGAAGCCGGAATATACAACAAAATCGTCGGTAATTTTGTAGTGGGTATACAAAGTATGGCCCGGTAGAAATACTATTTTAAACGTTGGATATTTATTATTCAAACATATTTTCCATGTTTACCAATGTACATGCACATTTTCGAGAACTATCTGGCTAATAGGGCTTTACATTAAAAAATATATATATTTTTAAATAATACCCAAATTTTTAACTCCATATTTTTGACTTCCACTTTTTCCGAGAATTCCAAACTGATCAACGACTAATCTAACCGATTCAAATCTTCAAAATGCATTTTTAATTGTTTCAATATGGATTTCAACAAAATTACAATTTATATTGTTTTTTTATAATTCTAAAATTGACCATAACGTCAATATACTATATTTATTTTTTCCGGATGACTTCTCGAACGCAAATTCATAACGAAGAAAATTCCAACTCAATTAAATTGTCTATAAAGACAAATTCATTGATAAAGTTCAATAAAAATTAACTCAATAATAAATATTGCAGCACGTGTGAGTTAAGAACGACTCAGGTTAGCTGTACTGAAAAAAGAACAACAACACAAATTATTGAAATTATATCACATGTCTGAAATTATATGGTAACCAAAAATTATTTTGCAAATAATAACTAATTGTCAAATTTTTGATGACTGGTAATTTATTGAGTAGCCTGCATTCAAAAAAAAAACCTTCTAAAATTTATGCCATTCTCCCGAAAACTACGTCATATTGACAATTACCCACTCACTGGATGTACGGTATGAAAATCATGTACACACCGCAAAATGATTGAATTTGTTTTTTTTTTCAATTTCTGTTTATTTTGAATTTTTCGCTCAAAAATCATTCGGCTAAATTGAGTGGATATTGGTTAACAATACATTGAGTCAATGTGGTCCACCGCCACAGAGAATCTTGCAAACACAACAGAAAACAGTAATAATAAAGAATAAGAAATAAATTGCAAATGAAAAAATGAAATAAAAAAATACCACAAGAACAGAAAAAAATCTACGCTAAACAGAAAATAAACGAAAAAGACGAAGACAAAAAATTGAAATCTAAATGAAGGAGGAATTTCTTCAGTTGAGTATTTGAAGGCAATTATTATAAATTAACACATTCAGTTGTCGAACAGATATTGAAGCGAATTCTTGGTGTATCGGACAAACTACCTACTACCCATCTTGAAATATCTGATGAAAAAATAATAAAATAAAATTTTAAAAAAATAAAGTTAAAAAAATCTTTACAGTCGCGCAGAAAAAAACTTGGAAAAAATTAGTCCATAAATGGCAAAATTTTTTAAAATTCTTTGCCCTAAAACTTTCCCATATGTTTTCAATATTACTGGCCACACAAAGTCGTCGTATTTATTAAAAAAGAAAAACGAAATTTAAAAAAGGAACAACAATTTTTTTCTGCTACAAAAATAGACAAAATAACTCATATAAAAAATATTTGATAACACGCGCCTTTGCAAAAAAATAAACGAACGAAAATTCTTTAACAAAAAAAGTGCTTAAAAACGGAAAAAGAATTTTTTCGAAAAATGAAAATACTTCAATATTGCGAGTGTGATTATTATAAAAAAAAGACTTGAATTTTTCACAAAATTAAAGCTTTTTCTCTTTACAAAAACAATAAATTGAAACGGAACGAAAAAACACATTTTCCTTTACTGACTAAATTATCTATGTGATGGCATCACCCTGCTATTCTCCCCCGTAAAAAGAAAATATAAACTGACGCCTACAAGCAAATAAAGCAAAAGCAAAAAAAGTAACAACAACGAGAAAAGTCAAAAGAATTTTCATTTTGTCTGAGGCAACGTCATTGTCGTCATCAGCCAGCCAGTTAGCCATAAAACAAGCAAGCAAACGAATCAACCAACCCATCATCCCGCTTTACATGTGTTTTTGTTGTTATAGCTCTTGGCGTTTTCCGTGTGTCTGTGAGAATAGGCCAAGTTTGCTTTCTAACCAAATACATTTACCAATTTGTCTGTAAAAAACACACATACATACACACACTAAGTGAGAGGGTAGAACACCGCCACTAAATAGAATCGAGCGGAAAAATAGAGAAACAATTTTCCCCCAAATTGTGTGTTAGTGTGAGTGCTGTTTGTGAAAAATTCTCCGAGAAGAAAAACTCCTGTGCAGAAGAGATAAGAGAACCAACAGCAACAACAACAAAAAGTATCTAACATCATAGACGATTTTGTCAGCTCAGTCATTGGCGTGTGAAAAATCGGAAAAACAGTTTATTCATAGCTTTCAGAGACCATTGTTCGTTTGCTCGCCTAATATTTTCGTGAATATTTGCGGCGAAATAATTTGTAAAATTTGTAATCCGTCCATGCCATGCGCGATAAAATTTCCCAACTATTTTGCTTGCCAAAAAACGCATGCAAACATAATTCAACAGATAATAGAGGTGTGTGTGTGCGATATTAAAAAAATTATTAACAATTTTTTTTATTTTAAAATGTGAATTTTAGATTTTTTTTTAAAAAAATTGAAATACTTGAAATTTTTATCAAAAATAAATTGAATATTTTTCACAAAAAATTTGTTCCAGACAATGCTTCTTCAATCAAATAATAATGAAAAATAAAAAAAGTCGGTCTAAAATAATTAATAAATTGAAAAAAATTAAAAAAACCTATTTAGCTTTTATTATAATAATAATTAAATATTTTTTTTTTTTATAAAATGTGAATTTTATTATAAAAAAACATTAAAATGATTTTTTTAACACCTCTAAATAAATTTGAAATATTTGTACATTTATTCTAAAAAAATATTTTCTTCTCGTTTTAAAACAATGCTTCATCAATCAAATAATAATAAATAAACAAAATCCCTCTAAAAGAATTAAAAAATTGAAAAAAATATAAATTAAAAACCACAAATATAATTTTTTTCTAATTTGTTTTATTTAATAAATATATTTTTATGTATAATATACATATTTTTATGTATAAAAAAGTGTTCCAAAATAATGCTTCCTTCAATCACATGAAAATACGCCTAAAATAATTAATAAATATTAAAAAGAAATAATAATATAATAATATAGTGTATAATAAAAAAATACCTCTGTGATTCATAATATCAAAAACATTTGATTAAAAATATAATAAATAATAAAAATGCCACTGTGATTTATAACATCAAAACCTCTTACACAAATATAAATAATAAAAAAATAAATAAAATTAAAATAAAACACAAAATTTTTTCTTATAATTAATAAGAAATGAATCATATTATAAATTAAAGAAATTTCAATAAAAATATATATCAATATACAAAGTTATAGTCAAACAAAAAATCCGACAAACGTAAATAATAATATTGTTGTTATTTATATATTACAAATTTAAAATATATACAAAATTAAAACAAAAACCATAATAAAGGCAAAAAAATAAATATGAAAATTCGGTACTATGTTTCTTAGAACATGAATAATCCGTCAGATTTATAAATATAACCTCAATAATCATTATGAGTAACTTGTATCAAATTAGCTAAAATCATTAAAGACTTTAATCGTGACAGGAAAACTGAATGCCATTGTAAAGCATGCTTTTGAATGAAGAGGGAGAGAGAGCGTGAGGCAGAGAGAAAAATATATGTATATGTATATATGTAATTGGGCGCCAAGTATGCGATATATAAGGGATGACGACCTATCCATTGGGAATTCAGAGTGTCCAAATACAGAGATTATTGTATGGTGTCTTGTATAATCATAACTTTGAAAAAATACGTCATAGTTACGTTGGTGTGTTCCGCATAAGCGAGTAATAACTTCTTAAATAAATTTGCATTCATCTCACCGTATTGTATTAATGAATCGCGCACGTATTACCCCCATGCTTTTAAAGGGGTTAAAAAAATTTTATGTTCTATGGGATTCTTAGGAAATTTATAATAAAAATTGCATAAAATCAAAAGATTTTAGAAAATTACGTTATATGAATGCTTGAAAATGCAGTAAAGCAGCTTATTTCATACTTAACATTTTGAGATTCCGAAAATACCAGCAATTCTTAATGGTGGCCAAATTTCGAATGTATTTATAAAGCAGTAAGATGGCCGATCCTGTTATACACTAGACAACTACCAGTGGACTTTTCGGCAAAGTCAAATCCCATGTCTGGGCCTAGTTTTACAAAATATACACTCTCTGGTGTGTTAATAACACTACTAAAAAATATCACAATATGTCAGCACATGTAAACGTTTTAGAATACCTACCATATCCGGGTACTTACAACAATATAATTTATTTCAATTTTAAGGCTAACAACACTTCTTAGACACTTTAGCAACTTCTTCTTATGTCTTTCCGGATTAAAAAAAAGTGTCATATAAAGAATTTTTGTAATTTTGTCACACAAATAGTAAAAGTCTAAGTCCATTTAACCCGCTAAATGTAGACCAATCTAAATTAAAACTAACATGCTCATTCGTTGGCCCCTTCCCTACCAGGAAATTCCTGAAGTTCGGGACATAAGTGAGCTGTTCATTGCACAATTCGATTAAATCAATTTTTCAAAATCTTAAATTGAAGTGTCAAAGGTCTCGTTATAGTCATAAATTTTTATATTTATAATATCGATCTTGAATAAGGACAACGTACATTTCATGCGATGATCTTTCTCAGTTATTAAGAAGTTACAAACTTTCAGGGCTACGTAAACTTGTAATACCCTTGCGCCATAATTGTTTAGATTAAAAAAATATCTAATGGAAACCCATATTGTTATAAAACTAATATACTAAGCACATACAGAAACTTTGAATTCGATTTTTGGATAAAATTAGCATGTTAAAATCTTCATCCTTCAATCGTTCGAAATCCCTCACCATATATTCAAAACAGAAAAAGTGTGATAATAATAAATAATTTACTATAGCCCCTCGTATAACAGAAACATCCAGTTTCAATTTGTTTGAAATAATTTTTCCAAACCAATTGGCTGCAAATTTGTAATTTGCGAAAAAACGAGCGTAACCCCGAACAAAAACTATCCATAGGTGTGTCCATCTTTTAACATAGGAGCGCATTTTTAACTTAAATGGTTACAATTGTACAATTTTTTTAAATTTTAACCATACAAAATTGTTTTCCTAAAAGTTATACTTTTTCGCATAACTCCCACATAGCAGTACTGCCCAATTTTGGGTATATTGAATCATCAATGGAATTCGCTGAAAGTTCCGACGAATTGTTTTAGTAAAAAAACTTTTCTACTATTTTATTACATATGGGTCTAAATTTTTTCATATCTCTCACACGTTGAAAGTCCCACAGAATTTATTTAGGGAAAATTCTTATGGATTTGGATTTTATTGTTTGGTATATACTTCTTTGCAATCAATATATTCAAGCATCAATGGAATTCGCTGAAAGTTTCGACGATTTTTTTAGTAAAAAATATTTCAACTACTTATAGGTCTCACAGAATTTATTAAGGAAACACTTCTTTACAATCATTTATTGATTTGAATCCTAATTTTGATATATACCTCATATATCGGTTCTATCCAAAATTTCTTGTATCAAATTTAATTCGGTATTTTCAGGAAATTTTCTTGAATTTCTACGCCATCTTTAGATATAATTCAAAATTCTGGAATTTTTTTATTGGGATTTTAAGAAACTCTGATATAAATTCTGCACATTTTCATGTTGTTCGAACTACATCTGTTGTCATTTTGAATATTTAAATTTTTATTCACAAATTACATTTGTAATTCAAAACATTTCGGTTTTATTTAGCGATTCAGATTTGTAAATTATTATTTTCCTTTTGTATTTTTTCAAAATTCAAATGCATCTTTGTGATTCAAAGAATTACATTTGAAATTTAAAATATTTCATTCCATGAATACAATTGTCCAAATTAAACATTTTGCGATATATATATATATATATATATATATATATATATATATATATTAAAAGAATATATTTAAAAAAATACATATTTGATTCAATATGTACTATTTGTAAGTTTACTTATTTCACATCAAATACAAATTATTCTATTTTAAATTCAAATTAATTGATTTGAATTTATAACAATACAATATTTCCAATTAAAAAATCATATTTTTCAAATGTTTTACAAATATATCTTTAAAAAAATACATATTTGATTCAATATGTATTATTTGTAATTTTACTTATTTCAAATCAAATACAAATTATTCTGTTTTAAATCCAAAATAATTGATTTGAAATTATAACAATACCATTGGAAATATAATTTGAAGTAAATCATAAGCTGTTATTTTTGGAATCGTTCATGGTTCTTTGGTTTAGATTTTCATATATTAAAATAAATTGAATTGAAATGTTTTCATTATATAAACATTCTAACAAAATGGAAATTATTATAATATTAAATGAAATGTTTTTTATTGCAAATAAATTTATTTAAATACTTCGAAATTTAAATGTGTTATTTTGATATGTAATTTTGATGTAATTTTGTGAAGAATTACAAATTTAGTAGTCGAATTACAATTTTCGATTGAATATGAAAATATTTAAAAACTCAATAATGTCGGTCGAGATATCGTGACATAGTTCCACTATCGAAATATAATATTAATAAAAAAGACTTTAAAAAGTGTGTATATTAAAGTAAGACAACAAAGTGATTTTTAGGATTTGAAGATATTATTGTAGATATTAGGATTAATATCTTGTCCTCCAAAGGCAAATTCATTCAAAAATACCAATCTTCACATACCTTTTTTGTCGAATGTTGTCCTTAGAACGAATACGCTTTCGAAAACCCCGTTTATTTTAAATATTTTAAAGACGCGTAATGTTTTTTTTTAAAAGGGGTTCTGATAATATTTTTTTTTTATTCTAACGAAAATATAAGTGTTTAATACTATAATTAAGATTTTGAGTTTTAACCTGTACATGTTGATTTCATCAAATCCAGACAGAGTTTTAAGAAGAGTTGTTTGTTTTCCATTGACTATCTTCCTGCCATATGTTGTTGGTCGAATAAATATTTTGATAAATGTGTAATTTTGAGTAAGATGTTGTTGATTTTTTGGATTTAATCGCAAAGCAAATGTTGAAGATATTATAAAGGGGCAAATAAATCATTGCTGAAAAGTGAAAATCAATATTTCGAGTAGTTCGCGTGATAAGCAGCACATATTATTTGACAGTCCACGTCAAGTCGTAAAACTTAAAACCAGATTTAAACAAAAATCTTAGCTAATAATTTATAGCCCAATAATTCAGATTTTGGCGGTCCCGATTGGTTCATTATTGTATTGCTGTACAGTGTAATAATTCGAATAAAATAAATAATTTAATATTGTAGAAATGATTGAAGAAGCATTAAATGAACTAAAATAAAAATTCGAAACATATTAAATTATATTAAAAATGTATGTACATATCTAAATATTTACATACATATGTATGTAACTGTATACTGATCAATACAATTAATGTGTTTAATTATTTAATTTACTCTTTTTTCTTCATCTTCTTCCAGGACAAAGTGTGCCAAATAAAGCAGCGCTCAATGGGGGGACAGCGTGTACCAACGGTTCTATTGGGCCAGAAGGGCCCGAAGCGACAGAGACCGACTCATCAGGGACCGGGGGGATGCGGAAGTCGTTGGAGAGGAAGGGCTCAGCGCCGAACGACGCTGTTCACCTCCAGAGACGGGTGGGACTCTTCAGTGGGGTGGCTTTAATTGTCGGAACTATGATAGGTAAGTAAATGAAATAAAATAATTATAATATTTAGATATTAGTGTATAATAATTAAATATAATAAATATATATGTACTATATATAATAATTAGTTAAGATATATGCCGAGACAGAGAAGGTATTTCGGGTGGAATACTTTTACTTAGAGACTTGAACTAAAAAAATAATTAAACCAGTGAGTGGAGCAATATATTAATTCAAATGCTAATTATGTAAAGAGGTTTTCATTTTTCACACAAAGGTCTTCATCTATTTGACCCTGTAAATATTGACGGATCATCAAAGCCGCTATTGCCAGGTCCCCTTCCTCATGTAATTTCGAGATGTTCGGGCCTTAGTATTTTGGTTTATTCGTTCATACACTAAATATTAACCGGTCTTCTTTGGCCAGAACCTAATCTAAATGCATACATACACGTGATACATTGTTTCATTTAAGTGCTGAAGCTTCATTCTTGCTCAGAAACATACCCTAGCCAGTATTTCATGACGATTGGTCCATGGCTGTGGTCTATACTTTAATTACAAAGTAAAATGTGCAGACAGTTGGAAGATATTAAGACATAATTTATTGATGTATTTAATAATAATTTCTTTAGATCGAAATTCCATATACCAAGAACAATTTTAATAGCATGCCGAAATATACATGCAAAGTAAAATTTAATTTCTGTACTATGTTTTTATTAGAACACTTTTTCATTAGAAAACATGATCATATATTTCCGTCATAACATCATCCTAATTTCATATAAATGATTGTAGGGCATGCCGTGTAATTTGTTGCCAAAAAAACGCTTAACAAATAGAAATAATCTGTATTTTTAATTACATAGACAGTACCAATATTTAAAATATATTTTCAAAAAATTGAAATTATAATATTTGTCAACATCAAGGTTTCTTCTTATTGCCTATCAAGGTTGATTTTTTTGGAAAATCCATAAAAAAATTATAAATATTTTTCGCATTTTCTCACATGACTTTTGGACACGAAAACACACAACGACGATTTTTTGTTGATTTCCCACGCATATATGTTTCCAGTTGTTGTTTTTGTTTTCAATGTTTCTACTGTATACAAAATAGAAAGAAAATAAAAAGCAATAAATAAAAAAATAATGCATATATGCCAACATATATAAACTATACTTTACGTATACAAAATATATATGTATAAAAATGTATATTTATATAAATAAAACGAAAAAATCACGAGGATGATTATTTTCTCATGCTAATGTTATGGCCCAATTGTTCGTATTTATGTATATATATAGATATACGAAAATGTGATTAATGTTTATCATAAAAACTCTCTCTCTCTCTCGTGAGAATAAAGAAATAGAGAGAGACACTATTTTAGAATATCTTTCCCAAAATGAAGATCTCTCATATATTTTGTATGAGAGTGGAAGAAGAGAGATCGAAACCATAATCATAGCAATCATACGCAGCATTGACGTAGGGTACAGGGGCGTATGAAATACACACGTATCGTTATTTTGATGACAAACTTATGCGTTAATAAGTGTGGCGTCTCTAAAATTTAGTTATTTTCCATATATATCATGTTTTCTTTACGACACAAAGTTCTTACTAGAAAAAGAATACGGCAAAAGTAAACTGTTGTCAAGGCCAAATGTATTTTTTAAGAAAACATTGATTTTTAGTGGGCATACCAAAAACACGTGTTGTTTTGTATTGGCCGAAACAATTTTAATATATATATATATATATATATATAATCATCTCATCATAAGATAAATCAATCCAATCATATGACTCAGTCCCTCCGATCGAACTAATTATTCAAACGCCACGAAATTTTGATCTGGATATGCTTTAACGCATGGAAGGAACTTCAACCTTTAGGAAGAACACGGTAGGGTATTTGTCTCGAGGAATGCCTGTAAGTTGCCGAGGCCGCAGTGTAACTTCTATCGACCTCATATTTCTTATCCAAATATCATAAAATCAGACATGATAGCAGAGAGTAGATTTATATTGTCTTAAATGAGACTTTGAACCGATTGACAATCCGTAGTCTCAAATAGCAGCACGTTGAAATGGAAAAAAATAGCACAACATTGTTAAAACTAGGCGGGTATATTACGAACATTTTATTTTCTAAGAGCCTTTCTTTGAGTCAGACATAGAAAATACAATGGTTTTTCGCTCTAAGTTGTTGTAGCAGCCCTAAACTTTTTAAACTGTTTATCGAGGTGACAGTCGTTGGTCGCTTAAGGTTGGGTTCGATTTGAACTGTATACCTCACAGTCATGGAATGAGGAATCAATATCACAATCCCACCTGCGATACAATTTCATTAGTAAAATAGAAGATACCTCTTTATCTTCCTTGGAACTTCTTCGAACTTGATTCGATTTGGATTGTTACTTCGCAGTCGTGGAAATAATTATCGTAGTCGTAGCTGTTCGAATAGAATGACACCTTTATATAGGTTCACTGTCGAAACAAGGATCTATATTTATATTATCACCCGCAGATAATACAAATGTAGAAGCCCTAAGATTTTAATACAGAGAACCGTAGATATTTGTGGTATTATTGTAGGTAAGAAAAAAATGGCAAATCATTTTCCCTAAGGTTCCTATAGAGGTGTATATAAAGGATACCAGAAGGACTACTTAACGTGCCCTTACACTGGCCTTCTTATAGATAAACAAAAGTAATAATTTCCTTATAGAAGTCCACAGGTTTTCCCTATAAAGCATAAACTATGATAAAGACGTTGTTGTTTTTTTGTAATCCTTATCCTTATTTTTGACGACGGGTATGATTGCTCATCACTGAAAAATCCGAATCTCAAAATACCAACTAGCATTATTGGCTTCGCTCAGAATTAACCGGTTTTTGAAATGTTCCCTAAAAATTTTAAAAATACATTCTTAGGAAGTAATAGGTTGAAATTAAATTAGACATTAAATTGACCTACTTACATGTCGAACGGCCGTGTCAAACCCTCCACAACAAGGAAGACTTGCCAAGGTAAATTCTTTGTACGAAGATTTCACCGCCACTGAAACCTAAAGTATGAAACTATGGCCAATTTAGTTGAAAGACGTGCCCCACTGTACTGAATATACCCAGAAACTTATGTCAAAATGGATAGTTTTCCGCTGGAAGATTTTCTACCCCATGAGAATCCAATATAATAAATACAGCCAAAATATATCCATATTAATGATGGTAGGAAGATTTGCTGAGAACCAATAATGCCAAATTACAGCCAATTCGGTTGAAAAACCTGCCCAAATTAGAGAATTTTTAGAGTAACGCTATATATCAATATACCACATTTTCAATACCAAACATCCGAGCTACATTCTGATTTAAACAGACTGACGGATATGGTTAACTAAGCATAGCATTTAGAATAATATAAATGGGGTCTGCAGTGAATATTTTGAAGTGTCGACAAATATTTTGAAGTGTTGACAAATTTGAAATGCAGTTATTTTATTATATACCCTTAAAAATATATGACTCTATTAATTCATGATTCAAATACAAATATTAACACATTATTTAATTTTTTCTAGGGTCTGGAATATTTGTGTCACCTTCTGGTCTACTAGCTAGAACTGGTTCCGTTGGTGTAAGCTTTATAATATGGCTAGCCTGTGGTGTGCTCTCGCTGATGGGTAAGTAGATTTTACACAGACAAAAAACTAAAAACAAAATAAACATAAAAACTGAACAAACTCATGAAATCCGAATACATGCAAGCCGTTCAAATTGCAATCCGCCCCTTCATAATCCTTGACTCATTTACGGTAGCAGTTTTGTTGGCAAACGAACAATAATCAACAACAAGTAGAATGGCTATAATCAACAGGTATCGTTGTTATTGGCCAATTGGGGTTTTTTTGTTCGTTTGTATGCGGCTAAATGGAATTGTAAATAACCCCCAATGGAGGTCATGTCAGGCGTACACACATATAATACATTTGTTGGTGTGTGCATTCAAACAAGTGTAACTGTAGAGTTATATACTATATATTCACAGAAAATGCATTGTAGAGAAAGACAGGGATGCCAAAGTATATAAAACATTTAAACATTTTTCTACAAAATTGTTCCGAATTTTGGAAATTTTTCCCATAAGAATTATCTGTCATTTTTCAATATTCAATGGAATATTCAACGGAATGACAAAGTTCATATACACTTCGCATTATCTCGCAAATACATGCAGCGACAACCCTATTTATTCTGCTGCTACCGTTACTGCATCAACCGACCGATTTGTTTACTTGTCCTAATTCGAAATGCTTACAAATAAAAATGTGACTCTCTAGATTTCAATAGCAACATCAACAACAAAATGTAAAGAACGAAAACATGATGAACCGAACGTATAAAACACAAAAAGCAAAAACTACCACAACAATCAACTAAATAATACTCTCAGACAAAATACCTTGTAAACTTTTTGGCTATAACCTGTTGCTGATGAAATGATAAACGCCACCATGTCCATGTACTCGTACATGGTCGTTTTGTACTCGCATTTGAGAATGTATTTTTTTCATTTCTTTTTTGAAAAACAAAAAGACAAATTGGCTAAACGCCAATCGTGTCGTTCAAAGTGTTTTATACTATGAACTGTGCACAAACACACACATATATATGAATATATATATGCAGTTAATATATATCTCGAAATGTTTGTGTATAAACAACACTTGTCTTTTGACAATAAATATATGTATATATCATGTTGACGAAATTCTCGCTATATCCATAGAGAAGAATATGTAGAAAGCAGAACATTTTTGTTTTGATTCAAATATCGAGATTTCAGAATGACTCCTGTTGATTTAAATGTATAAAATTACAAATATTATTCCAGATGTTTCCTTAATTTATATACTTTTTGAATATAGAATTTTGCAACTGATGTCGCTATTCTGTAATACGTTATTTTTCTTCGTGTTTTTATAGGCCTTAAAAATATTCAATATATAATCAACTCATTCTAGAAATGTAAATAATTTTGATATATATAATTTTTTTATAATTTGCTTACTTAGTTGGCTTGTTAAAGAATGGTTGCTCCATAAGTCTAGCTCAAAAAATATTTCCAAGCGCGCTGAATAGCACTTTATATGCGATGGGAAGGAGACTTATTCCTCTATAGTTGGCACATATCGTCCTGTCTACTTTTTTGTGCTCAGTAAAGAATGCTGAAGTTTCAATAATTGGGCATGCATTCCTCTAGCCAAATTGTACTAATCAGCTGGTGCATGCTCCTGTCCAGCATCTGACCACCAGTCTTCAATAGTTCGGCTTGTAACTCATCGGCACCTGCTGCTTAATTATTCTTCAGCCGATTGATTGCTATTCTGACCTCATCTTTGCTAGGTGGTATACACTTTATAACGTCATCTTTTATTGGTTCTGGAGTATCCTCTTCACCGGTACTATTTCATACCAGAAGTTTTTCAAAATGCTCCTTCCAGATCCTCAGCACGCTGTCTGTATCTATCACCAGATTTCCTTCTTCATCTCTTCATCCTGCCTGCAACAAAGCCTTCGGTTTGGTATTTTAATTGTTGGTAAAATTTCAGGACTTCATTCTGACTCCTGTACATCTCGATTTGCTCACGTTCTTCTTGTTCTTCATTCTTTTTTCTGAAAACTCGTTTCTCCTCTCTCATTTTCTCCCGATAATTCTCTATCGCATTAAGTGTTGCTACAGTCTTCAGGGTTGTCCTATACGCTGCGTTTTTCATATAAGTAGCATTACGACACTCCTGATTGTACCACGGATTTCTTGATGGTGGTCTTTGGTACCCAAGTGTTGCTTTTGCTGCAGTTTGTAGGGAGGCAGTTGGGTAAGTTGAACGGAGTAGCCTTCTGTTACCTGTTGTGTTTGCAACTTTCCGACATCGAGTTTCCGTGTTATTATTAGATCGCACCTTTGCTGCTACATTAAGACGAGTGCGAACCTTGGCTGCCACAAGGTAATGGTCCGAATCGATATTTGCTCCTCGTATCGATCGAACGTCTAACACACTGGATGAATGCCTTCCGTCTATTACATGGGTGCAAATGAGACTGATGTAGAAGAACTTCGCTGGAGTTAATCTGGAATCTCTCCTGTATCTTTATTCTCCTGTTAACCATAAATCCGCAGTCAAATTCATGCCCCGTTTCATGGCAGCTATAATATAGTGCCTAATCATCTGATTTACAGCTTGAGTACATCCGCCAAAGCGAAAACTGCCCCGGTTCTGTACCACTACGCACATGCCAAGTGGAGATTCGCAGGTCGTCAACATTAGGGGATTTTGTTTTCTTTTTCGTTGCTTTTTCATAGTATTATTTTTTTTTACCCGACGCCTCAACCCATTCTTTTATAGTTCTTATGGGTGAATTCGCGGCACATATATATATATATATATATATTCTTCCTCGCAAATAACTATATTTTAGCATTACAAGTCAATCACAGAACATTTTCAATAGAGTCCATGTTTTTTTGTATTGGGGTTAATAAAAAGGTCAATTTTAATTTTCGGAATGTTTGAGTTCCTAGCCCAATTTTCGAACCTAAATATCAGTAGTTTCGAATTTGTATTTCTTCTGTCAAACATTGACTCTGTAAAGGTATCTATCGATTTTTGATTGTTCACTTCATAGGATAGGGTATAAAAAGTTCCGCATCTTTACTTATTTTTTTTAATACTATACAGAGAAATATCTTCGATTTAAAATGCTAGAAACTTAAATTTGTATAAAAAACGTATTAGCTCAGAAGTTTAAATAACAAATATGGGCATCTGTGAGTATTTATAGATGAAAGGCCTTTATTAGAAAAATTACACTGTATAACACTATTTTGAGGATCGACATTTGTTTTTTGTTGATATATGCCAAAACAACCCAGAAGGTCAAATTCGATATAGGTAATTTGTTTGAGTTATGGCGCGATAAACCTTTACTGATGACCTTATAATACACAAATTCATATCTTTGTATACCATTTAATGTGGAGACCTGCTGGAAGTAAATCACACTGCAAGAAGATTTTGGGGGCAACAAATTTCATTTGGCGTTGAAAGCCCTCCATGAGAACATTAAGAACACAGAAGGGAAAATTTGGAATAGTCAAAGTTTTTAAGTTATGGTGTGATCATTTTTTGCTCGTGATCTTGTTTAAAGCCAATGCAGTACTTTTGAATTGGCAAGTATGTATGTCAAATCGATTGAGGTATATTTTTGTTGAATAGTTCATTACTCATGTTTGTTTGGCTTATCCTTATTTTCTTTAATCATTAACTAATTACCACAACACTAACACTAAAAAAATTTACCTCATAAAATTTTACATAATGTCCATGATAAAAAGGAATTGTCATTTCATATGTCATGAGCTATATTGTTTCGCATAGCATTACATATATACTGCCTTTTATATTAACAAAGTTTATTTGTTTTTTTCTAATGACAAAATGAGAAATGAGTCTTTTAAAAATGTCCTCATACAATTATTTAATATTATTTATACAGTCTTTTCCAATACGGAAATAATAGACTTTTTAAATTTAAATTCATATTCAATAATTTCATGCAACATTTTTACAAATATTGAATATTGCACATTTAGAAATAATTTCCGTTATAAATAGATTTTATTTTTAAACATATATTTTGTTCAAGAAATCTATTTTAGTAAATTCCCCTTCAATATATAACTGACTATTTATAACCAGTATACAATTATAATGAGTATATAATATTTGTTCCGTTTCCCAAGCCAAAAAAATGTCACCACAATATGATGACCAAAAATTTACGTAGACGATCAATTAATTTGAGATGTTAAGTACGCTTCAACTCATATTGGGATAGATCAATACCCAAATCATTTTCAACAAACCAATAAAACTAAAACGTAAAAACAAAAAAATTTATATTAATGGATTGAATTTGGTTGTTTGTTTGTCTGCCTGTTTATAATGATGTTTTTCGTAGTTGTTGCTATTTTTTGCTACAACTTGGCATTGTCTATTGAACATTGAAAGGTTAAAAATTGTGGCAAATGTACTTTGCGATAAATAGATTTTGAAAAAACAGAAAAATAAACACATAAAATAATTTCTTAAATCATGTGCCTTTGCTAATTGAAAAGAAATTGAAAGTTAATTAAAAAGAAAAACATCCACACGTATATGTATAGGGGAACTACGTGAGTGTATTAATGCTAAAACGTTGACAATGGAACAAAGAATACTAATTGATTTGGTTTTTATTTTTCTTCTCGTTTTTTTGGGTTAGTGGTGGGGATGGCCGAGGAACGTGAGCAAATTATAATAAAAAAAATTGAATTAGTTTTTCTTTAGTTCTCCCTCTCTCTCGGTGACGCTTATAATCATGTAGTAATGTAATGAACAATTTGTCAGATGCTTTATCCTATGTGTAATTATAAATATATATGTATGTACATACATATATTTTGGGTGTGTATATATTAGTTTGTATATGTAGTCTGATTTGTGTTGATTTTTTGTGAATTTTTTTCGCCGATCTTGTTGTCAAGTTCATGAGTTATGTGAGAACAGAGAGGGTGCTGAATATGGGGAAATGAAACACTTCTTGAAATTGTTACAGTTATGCGTAAAATTATAGCAAACTGCAATAGTAGACTGATCATACAAGGCGTGGATTTTTGAAAGAATATTTTTTCAAGGGTCATAAAAGGCGTGAATTTCTTAAAGAATATTTGTTTTCAAGGCTCATACAAGGCGTGGATTTTTAAAGAATATTTTTCAAGGATTATACAAGGCGTGAATTTCTTAAAGAATATTTGTTTTCAAGGCTCATACAAGGCGTGGATTTTTAAAGAATATTTTTCAAGGATTATACAAGGCGTGGATTTTTTAAAGATATTTTTCAAGGATTATACAAGGCGTGGATTTTTTAAAGATATTTTTCAAGGATTATACAAGGCGTGGATTTTTTAAAGATATTTTTAAAGGCTGTACAATGTGTGGATTTTTATACCCTACACAACTGGGTATTATAGCTTTGTGCAGCCCTAAGAGTTTGTAACGCCGCGAAATATTGATCCTAGCCCACCTTCGTCATATCTCGATTAGCTGAATCGATCTAGACATGTGTGTCCGTCAGTCCGTCCGTCCATTTTAATTTTTAAACACGATTCAGGCCACAGTTATGGACCAATCTTCACGAAATATTGCATGTAGGATGAGTTCTGGCCAATGTTTGGTAAATTGTTTTTGGTAAAGATCAGTTAACATTTTGGGGATGAAATGGACCTATTTCTTAATTTTTGTGGGTTTTTCTCGTCGCTCCAGAGGCCGCAATTTTGACCCAAACATCGTGAATTTTTACATGGAGAAGGCGATCGGCCCAAAGAATAAGCACGTCTCTTTTGATAAAGATCGGTCAATATTAAGCGGGTCAAATGGACCCTGACTTTTGTGTGAAATATTACAAAATGTATATTCTATAGCGTATATTTTTACCCCTGAAGGATATTGACCCGAGAAGTTGATAGTATATCCAAGGTGAGTGGTTGACCCTTATGTTGATGACAATTATATTGTCGTATGTACTCGGATGTCGGAATTACACTGAAACCCATTACCACACTAGAGGACGGAAATATAGCGCTCATCGCTTTGAAAATTTCCTTGTGGATCCAGGTATGGTCAAGAACAACGCCTATAATAATATTGGGATAAAGTGGACCGAAAACTTATTTTTTTCGAGTCAATCTATATGCCACGAACATCACAACACAACCCACTGTGAAGGGAATCTGGACAAGTAATTAGAGGGCTGTAGTGAATACTGGGATATTCGGAAAATATGTCAGTGTATGGAAGAGGTGCTGTAGATCTCTAATCGGTCAAGAGGGTGCAAATATAGCGAGATATTGCCCAGGCTCGGAATTAATATCCGCAGAAAGTAAAAGTTCCGTGGTAGTTGTGTAAGGTGTCATATGGTCGGCCCCGTCCGACTATACTGCTCCGCTCACTGGTTTAAAGAATATTTTCTCAAAAATATGCAAGGCGTGGATTAAAAAAAAAATAAAAAAAATTGTTTGATGACTTTCTCTATATATTAAAAATCCCCTATGAACAGAAGACTTTTTCGGACTTCTATGGACTAAAAAGGATCTGGATTTAGATTCCAACAAGTGTTGCCAACAAAACTATCGCCCATCTTACGTTCCCCCTATTTCCTAGTAAATCCCTTTTACCTACCAACAATAAATTTCTAACTTCTCTCCTTTTTTCTTTTTCTCATTTCCAGGTGCCCTGGCATATGCTGAATTGGGTACAATGAATACATCGTCTGGTGCTGAATGGGCATATTTTATGGACGCATATGGACCAGCACCGGCGTTCTTATTCTCATGGGTATCAACGTTAGTCTTAAAGCCATCGCAAATGGCAATTATTTGCTTATCATTTGCACAATACGCCGTCGAGGCATTTGTCTCTGAATGTGATCCACCAATGTCGGTTGTTAAAATGGTTGCATTAGTAGCAATAGGTAAGTATATCCCTTAACTAAACCCTCCCCCCAAAAACTCCCTAAAAAATTAAAAAAAAAATCTATCGGAACTATAAAATTTCCCCCTTTCAAAATTTTAAAAACATAAATACCCCCACCAACCAAAAAAAATATGTTTGCAATCCATTAATCTTTGTTCTCCTTTTTCTTTCCCCCCACTCGTAAAAAAATCACCACTACCACTACACCACCCCCCTCAACAGTGATGATTTTGTTTGTTAACTGTTATAGCGTTAATTTGGGCATGGCTGTACAAAATATATTTACGGCCGCTAAACTGGTAGCTGTACTCATTGTTATATGTGGAGGTGCCTGGAAATTATTCCAGGGTAATACTCAACATCTGGCAAATGCATTTAGTGGACCCAATCCGAATGTAGGAGCTATTGCAACGGCCTTCTACACGGGTCTGTGGGCCTACGATGGTTGGAATAATCTCAACTATGTCACCGAAGAAATTAAGAATCCAAGCAAGAATTTACCGCGTTCCATTGTCATTGGTATACCGTTGGTAACGCTGTGCTATGCTTTGATCAATATCTCATATCTGGCGGCAATGTCACCCACCGAAATGGTACAATCGGAAGCGGTAGCTGTGACCTTTGGTAATCGTATATTGGGCGTAATGGCCTGGTTGATGCCCTTGAGTGTAACGATTAGTACATTTGGCAGTGCCAATGGTACATTGTTTGCAGCGGGAAGGTATGTCGAACGTTTAATAATAAAATTCTTTAAAAATTTAATCATCTTTTCTTTCATTACAGATTATGCTTTGCTGCTTCTCGTGAGGGTCATTTACTGGATATCCTGTCATATGTCCATGTACGCCGTTTGACACCAGCTCCTGGTCTGATTTTCCATGTAAGTCTTGCTTATAGCTCATTTTAATAAAAAAATATATTAATTTTCTTTTTCCTCCTTCCCTTCCAGTCTCTCATTGCCGCTGCCATGGTCCTCTATGGCACCATCGATTCATTAATCGATTTCTTCAGTTTCACTGCATGGATATTCTATGGCGGCTCCATGATGGCTCTGATTGTGATGCGCTTCACCAAACCCAACTATCCAAGGCCATATAAAGTGCCTATTATCATTCCCATTGTGGTTCTGGTGATCTCAATGTATCTGGTGGTGGCACCCATTATCGATTCGCCACGCATTGAATATTTGTATGCTCTACTGTTCATATTTGCCGGTTTGATATTTTACATACCATTCGTTAAGCTGGGCATGACTCCGAGATTTATGAGTAAGTTGACAAAAAATTGAGAATGATGAAACAGAATTACATATTAAAATTGGAGTAAGGAAAAAATTATAAATTATTTAGGACTATATTGAAATGGAAAAAAGAAAGGAAACTTCTCGGCTAGCCTCTATATACATTTTTGAAATCACCGCTGTAGATCGACACTGGCACTATTTATACCTTTCACCACACCGTGGTACAGGGTATTATTTGTAACAGGCAAAAGGAAACGTTTGTAACAGGCAAAAGGAAACGTGGTAGACACATGATTCCTTTTGAGAAAATGCATAGAATCACTTTCTGAGTCGATTTATGCATGTCCGTCCGTCTGTTCATGTTAGAATGTAAACAAAGTATATATCTTTCGATTTGCACGAAATTTGGCATAGCGTACAGAATTGAGTCTAGAATGATGTGTGTAAAGTTTCCTGAAAATCGGTTCAGATTTAGACATAGCTCCTATATATATTTTCGCCCGATTTAATGTAAATGGGGCACCAAAGCCCCTAATATTTTTCGATTTGGTCAAAATAGTGTATGTTTTAAAACTCTTTGAGTAGATTAGAAGAGCGGATACTGAATTTGGGGTAATTGTTTTATGGTTGAAATTTCTCTAACAAACGATAAAAATTGACATGTTACATATTTTATTAGTATGCTAATTAGGAAAAAGGGGGGACATGGGATAATGGATTTTGTTTATTGAAGATTCTCATTTAAATTTTTTATTGTCTTTACATGAAAGGGAATAAAAAGTATGATAATTATTATTGAAAACAGTGGTATATCTATTTGTTTATGCAGGTTGATATGCATGTGTGTCACATTTCTATTGAACAACAAATGTAAATAACTTGCATGTATATTCGAAAGGGCGGAAATCAGCTCATTATGATTATGAGAATGAAAAATGTTTTCTTGTTAAGTGATTCAATATCTACGCTGTATTCATAATATTTGCATTTAAATTAAATTGATAATGTCGATGTTTGTCACATTTTAATTGAAGATATTAAAAGTCAACTGGTATCAATATATATAAGATTTTAGTCTTGTTAGCGGACATTTGTTTACATATCATTTGATTTTTAATATATTCACTGAAAATGTGACAAACATCGTTATTATTATTTTAATAAAAGTTTAAACATTACAAAAACCTTTTTCGCTTTCTTATAATCATAATGATTTGGTTGCCGCCTTTTCTGATATACATGCAAGCTATTAACATTCGTCGTTCAATAGAAATGTAACACACATTGATATCAACCTGAATATACAAATATGTATTTACCGCTCTCTTGAGTAATAATTATCTTACATTGTTTACCCAATAAAAACAAATGATTCTCATTTAAATTCAATACACATAATCTATTATCACACTTTCCCCCCCTTTGCCTAATTAGCATACTGATAAAATATGTAACCTGTCAATTTTAATCGTTTGTTAGAGAAATTCCCCCATAAAACAAGTACCCCAAATTCAGAATCCGCTCTTCTAATCTACTCGAAGAGTTTTGAAAACACACGAACATTTTTGTTGGTACTAAATATTTAACCAGAATATCATGGATAGCGTGGATTTTCAAAAAAAAAAAATAAATAAATAAAAAACATTTTTTTGGAGTTAAATTTAATATTGGAGTTAAAATTAATTTTAAAAACTCAAGTTTAACATAAAGCGTGCATTTGTTAAAAATGTTTTTTATTTTATTTTTTAAGTCTAGCACCAGGCGTAGTTTTTAAAAATATATATTTTTCACCCTACACAACTATGTTGTGAAGTATTATCGCTTTGTGCAGCCAAGGGTGGTCCTAGACCCACCTTTCATTATACCGCTCGCCATATCTCGACTAGCTGAATCGATCTAGACATGTGTCCGTCCGACCATCTGTCCATTATAATTTGTAAGCCACAGTTATGGACCAATCTTCACGAAATTTTGCATGTCATAGGATAACAGAATTGGCTGTAATTTGGTCTTTTAGGTTATCATTGTATAACACATCTCCGTGACAAATATTATTAATATTGACCCACGTTCCAGAATAGACCCCATATAACGGTAGCCCCCAATATTCGGTATTTTGTAGATTTTGGGCAGGTTTCCAACAGAATTAGCTGTAATTTAATATTTTGGGTTATCAATGTATAACACATTTCCGTGACAAAAATTATTAATGTTGACCCACGTTCCAGGATAGACCCCATATAACGGTACCTTCCCAATATTCGGTATTTTGGGGATTTTGGACAGGTTTTCCAAGCGAATTGGCTGTAATTTGGTATTTTTGGTTCTTATTGTATAGCACATCTCCGTACCCAAAATTATTAATATTGAAACAAGTTGCAGGGTAGCCTCAATATAACGGTACCACCCAATATTCGAAATTTTACGGATTTTGCACACGGGTTTACACCGATTTGGCTGTACTTTGGTATTTTGGGTTCTCATTGTGTTAACATCTCCGTGCTAAAAATTTTTAATATTGACCCACGTTCGAGGGTGGCCCATATATAACGGTACCTCCAAAATATTCGGTATTTTGGACAGTTTTTCAAACCAAATTGTCTGTAATTTTGAGTTTTAGGTTTTCATTGTATAGCACATCTCCGTACCAAAAGTTATTATTGATCCAAGTTTCAGGGTATCTTCCATGTAACGGTAATCCCCAGTGTTCGGAATTCTGGGAATTTTTGACACGTTTTCAATCCAATTGGCTTTAATTTGGTATTTTGGATTCAGGGTAATCCCCATATAACGGTATCCCCCAATATTCGTTTTTTGAGATTTTGGTCATTGGAATTTGGCATTTTCGGTTCTCATGACGGTATCATCACTTCTCCGCACTAACAATTATTAACATTGACCCATGGCGGTATTTTTGATAATTTTGGTCACTTTTTTCAACTTGTATTATCATTGTTTGTCAAATCTCACTATCAAAAAATATCTATATTCATCTCCGTTTTAGTATAGCCCGATATAACGGTAGCTTCACTATTAGATATTTCGAAAATTTCAATCATCCTTTTCTCGCGTATTTTTCGGTATGTTCAAGGTCTTATCATAACATGAATTTTCTCATTTTTATATATTTTGTCATCCTCATGGTGGGTAACAACATATTTCTTTGAATCCCTTTTTTACTCACTGAAAACACGAAATGTCACAAAATGAACCTGTATTGACTTTCCATATCATATAGGAGGTTATATAAATCAGAAAGGTCAAAACAATTTTTAAATAAAAAATCTTGAAATAATTTTTAAAACTCTAGTGATAAAAATTATTAAAAAAAACATAGAAGTCTATCTTTTTTTCTTAACAATAATGAATTAGGTTACCTAAGTTAGATATATTAATATATTCGAATATATTTATATGTATATTATTTGAAAAATAAAATATTAATGATCTTCTCATTTTTTCCCCATTCCAGACAAAGTAACTTTGTTCCTGCAATTACTATTGGAAGTTGTGCCCACCTCCAGCATGGCATTGTTCGATTGAGAAACAGCAACGATGACAACTCAGTCTGCTCAAGTTGATGCCCAATAGAAAACACACAACACAATGCTATGAATAGTTAGTTGAAAGGCAAAGAATACAAATGAAAAAAGTGTATGGAAAAAAAACTATAAAATAGTTTTTGACACAAATATTCTTGAAAACAAAAACAACAAACAAACAAAAAAGATTCAAGTCAAAAATATACTAACTACTAAGATATACTTGCAAACCAAACATTCATATTACAAAGAATTACAAAAAGAAGAAGAAAACAAAAAAACTATATAAACATATTTAATTAAAATATATATATTTTGTAGATTTTAAGAAACAGAAGAAAAAATATTACCATGAAAAAAAATCTAAAAAAAGTGCAAAATATTTTGAAAAAAACTACTACAACTGTTGCTTTCAAAAAAGTAGCTGATGTAAAGAAAAAATATGATACAAAAAAAAACTATACAACAGAATAGAATTTTTTGAAGAAAACAGAAAATATTTTATTAAGGCTTTGTTGTCAACACCAGATATTCAAAATGTTTTTTGTATACAACTTTATTTATAGAAATGTTTTTTATTTTATAAAACAGAGTAAAGGATTTGCTATAGGAAACGAATTGAAACACTGGTCTGACAATGTAATTTTTAAGATAATGTAAAAAAAGAAGATATCATGAAACGTAAAATAGGATTTCTCAAAAGATCTAAGGCTGGAAAGTTAATGGAAATTGTAGCAAATAGGATATTTACCAGGTTTTTTTAATTATGGTAAAATTCCTATGTGAGGCAATAAACTATACAACATAATTGGCCTTAGGCCCAAAATTAAGTACTTACATGCAACATGAGTTTGGAAAAAGATTTTGAAAATTACAAAAATGAAATCTGTAGTGACCTTAGAAATGAATTGCCAAACCAAAATGTACTTAATTGATTTAGTTTTTTTGAAATCGAATCAAAAAGTGAAAAAAATGAAACTCAACTAATTGTTTTCTATTGTTGTGAGAATCCATGAATTCGTAGGACTGCTTTAGGCATTAATTGAACAAAAACATAAAATTTTAAGAGATTTGTATTGAATAGATGTATTTTGAAAAAAACGGAAATAAAACAACAAAAATTTTATTTGCATTATTAGGAAAAAGAAAGAGAAATACCCGCCAAAAAATACAAAAAACTTAATACCAAACACTAAATGTTGTTATCAATTAAATTAATTTTTAAGCTTCTTAAGCAATATATTATATTACAATTTAGTTAAGCATTAAGTTTAATAAATATACATATTATATATATAGTTACAATTAAAAGACAAAATACTAAATGAAAATTAAACAAACAAAAACAAATTGCCCACACAGATTTTCGGTTTTATGCATTTTTTCTTCATTTTATTGAATTGAACAAATATTTTTTTATAACAACAATTGTTAATCACTTGAAATACTAACTATATATTTTTATTAAGTATTTTGTTGAGTATATATATATATATCGAGTATGTATACAAATAGACACACATACATATATATTTTTGGAATACAATTATTATTTTTTAGTTTAGGTCTCATTTTTTTAAATGAAATGTATTATTAATGGGGAATCTTTTCGTAAATAAAGTTTTACAAAAACTAAATTGTGTGTGTGTATGAATTTCAAATATAAAATATGGTTTTATGTATATTATTTTCGGGTACGTCTAATTATCAAACAACAAATAATTTTGAATGCATAATTGCAGTATTGACATTTTATTTATGTTCTGTTTTGACTGAAAAGAGGTGAAAAATTTTAGGAACAAGAATCGAAGACTTTATTATTCTAAAATAAAACCAGTAAGGCAAGTTCCAACGTTGAACGGAGCCGACTATATGATAGCCTTCACCACTGTGGATACATCAATCATTGTATGTATGGTGCTATATATAAATAGACGTATTTGAGCAAACGCAGCGTTTGCATCACAGTGCGCCAAAACACACAAATATTGACAGTATGGTGGTCCATTTACATAAAATCGGACAAATCTATATATGGGAGCTATATCTAAATCTGAACTGATTTCAACAAAATTTCAAGTACACCAATCAGGACCTAATTAAGTACTCTCTGCAAAATTTTGTTTTAATCGGACCAATATTGAGAGTTTGGTGCACTAATTACATTAAATAGGACGAAACTATATATTCGTCCTTGGGTCAAATAAGTCACCTGTGTCAAATTTCATTCAAATCGGATCATAAATGCGACCTGTACTTTGTTCACAAAAATACATGGACGGACAGACAGTCATGCATAAATCGACTCAGAAAGTGATTCTATGCATATTCTCAAAATGAACCATGGGTCTATCTCGTTTCGTTGTGTCTGTTACAAACATATTGCTCATTTGCTGCAAGAGAGGCATAACTCAAAAAATGTAATTTCGAATTAATGATGTACGATTGTTCGCTATAATAAACCTCATGTTGTGTAAAAAATTAATATGAATATCTCTTACCCACTCTAATTGAGAAGCTGTAGAAGTTCCTCTGTCCCATATAAAGTGTGAGTAAATTGAAAACTTAAAACGCATTTTTTTGCAAAATCGCTTTTTTGTGTTACGCCTGTCTCGCAGCAAATGAGCGATATACACAATAGGATCGTTCGTTTACTCAATAATTTGTACGAATTTGTACAAATTATTACAAAATGTTGTTCGTTTACCCAAAATCCCAGTAAAAGGGAGTGAATTGAGAGAGCAGATTTGACAGTTGTGTTACTGAGTATTTGCAAATTCTTACAAGGAAAATTTACTCAGTAAGAATTTTCTTGTACCATCAGCTGATATTTAATCAGCTGTTTTGTTATGTTTTGTAAACATTTTATTTTGATTTTGTATCATTAAATACAAAAATGGATGAAGAAAACGCAAGTATTTAAAAATAAGGTAATACAAGAGTAATTGGCGAACGATTTTTAGGTCCCAAATCCAAACGAAAAAGTGTGCATCCCTAACATGTCTGGAATGTTTGCGCCAATTTGTTTGTTGTTTTAATCAGCTGTGTCGAAGCAATCTTTTTACTGGATGTTGTTCGTTTACTTTTTGCAGTTTTCTCTCTTGAAAAGGAAAAATTCGTATTTACTCTCTGCATATTCTTACTGAGTAAATATTACTGGGAAAGTAAACGAACGAACCTATTGACATAATACCCTGTACCACAGTGTGGTGAAGAGTATAAAAAATTAACGGGTCCATTCTTATACGTTTATTTGTAATTACAATAGACAACGTTGAATTTTTATTTATTTTGTAACCCAAAAAGAAAAAAGTATAAAAATCTGGTAACGTGGACCATTATAAAAAGAGCGGGACTTTTTCATAGATGCTATATCGAAACCTGGGCCCGTATTAATTCGAAAATGTAGACTGAAGCTTTCTGGTTAAGCGTAGAGGGTTTTTGTGCTAGAGGTATGAATTTTGGAAATTTGTACTAGAAGTGTACGAAAATGTCTAAGTGTTACTAATTTTACAGTATTTTGTGGACAAATGAATATATTAGTGTGGAGACTCTAATGTGGACAAAATGTGCTAAATCTTGGAAAGGGAAAAAAGAGCACATTTGAACAGAAAAATAGCGTTTTAAAATAGTCGAGTGAACATGTTTTCCCTATGCAATTGTAAATTTTTGTTAAACAATTTATTCCAACAATTGTTTCAAACATATCTAAGGTAAGTTATTTGACATTCTAGACCTGCATAGCTATTGTTTGAACCAGGATAAATTTAATCAGCCAAGATCTTCCTTATTTTTCAGCTTTATTTTTGATCGATAATAAACAATTTCAAAAAAAAAATGTCCAAATTTGAAATCGAGAATATGTGAGGTCCCCTTAACTAAAAAAATTATTATAAATGTCCATTGCCACACAGAGGTGGGGAACCTTTGAACATGCCCATTAAACACCATATCTTTAGCAACGATTTTCTAAATTTCAAATGGGTTAATAAGACTACGAAATTGACTATAATTTCGCAATATAGTATGAACATTTAGTGTATGTGTTATTGAGTTAAGGAATATTCTAAAAGAGCCGTTTTTGAAAATATTGAGTAGGCGAATGACTTTTCTATTGACCCTTTCGGATACAAATGTGCGGCAGTCAAAGATATAATTTATTTTTGGTCGCATATTGTTTCCAAACTTTTCCTTGATAGTGAAGAACACAACACGTTAGGACTGTGCTAAATGAATGCAATTTGTACTTGTTTTTAATAAATAATGTAAAGTTGGCATCACTTTTTGTGATTGAAGAGCATTCAGAAAAGAGAGAGAATACATACTTAATATTATTTTTTTTTAACATTAGAAAATAACATTTCGTACATTTTCGAAATGTGAAAAGGACACCAATAATTTTATTGCAATAATTTCCATAGAAGTATGCAGTTGTCGCTTTCTTATCATGAAAAGGTATTAGAACAAAAGAGGACAACACTAGAAATATTGTCCATTATCGCGTTTTTTAACAACACATCATGTTTTATTTAACATTGTTCCCTAGAATATATTGGGGATTTTCATATAATAATATATTGGTGATTTTGTATAATTTGGTGGATTTTCAGGGATGTGTGATCATTGCTTAAATTCTAATTGTGATACACATAGACCTATACTTATAATTTTCAGCGAAGTCCAATCAGGACTGTAATCTACGTCAAAATTATTCTCCCCAAACAATATTTGGAAAATATAAAAATTTTTGACTGACAAGAAATAGCAACTAAAATCGATCCTAGTCGTACTTTACAACCAACATCCATTTATCTCCAATCTGTCTTAATTAAACGCCATTGCACTTGTTTTTAATAAATAAAGCAAAGTTGGCATCCCTTTTTTGCAAGAGCATTCGAAAAATGAAGAGAGAGGAATGATCTTCGAAAACAGAATTGGACTGACATTGCTTAAGATAAAACGACAACATAATTTACATTTAATTGTTCGAATCGTGAAAAAGACAACTAATTTCGCACTATAATTAGAATTAAAAAGAAACGGTGATATATAGTTGTCACTTTTATCACATAGAACTTGATTAACG